GGGGGGGGAAGGAGGGGGGAATGACGCGAGAAAGAGACACAGAGAAAGAGAAAGAAGCTTAATCCTCTAAAGCAAATCAATGGTCTGGTAAAATATCACAAAGCTTCTGCAGCTGTGCATTTATCAATGCTTGAAAGCAGAAATGATACCTAGTATACAAGACAGTGGCAGATGAAAGGGCGGAATAGTGCCTCATCAGCGTAGACGTAATTTGCAGGTAATGTACATCCAAGTAATGTAGTCGGAACTTCAAAGCAGGCAGACGACCCCGCCATTGCTGGCTTAACTCCGATAACCACAGGCATCGTTCCAGAGCGAGCTTCTTGACCCCACCATCCACTTGTTGCTGGTAGTGACCTCAGGCCTCAACTACAACATTCATCTCGTGTTTGTCTGTTCTTGATGCCTCTTCTACTCCCATTTGCACTTGCCCTCAACTGAAAGATACCAGACATACAAAACGTCATATAGGTCAGTCAATAATCTAGGTGGCCTTGCTTCTCATCCATCGCTCCATCCAGAACAACATCTTCAACAACTTGCTTGTTTCCGTCTCATGCCACTCGATGGGCTCATTTGTCAAGCTTCGAGCTTCGCAGATCACTTTAACCGTGATTCCTCAAACTCGTGCGCAGCTGACCGGTTTCCAGTATTCCCAGAACAAATCAATCCGCTTCCGAATTGTACGGCCCTCATGCCCATTTCGCATCGCGAATAGTTTCCCGTTCACTTCTCAGGCCCCTCATCAAACGTCGTTCGGTGTCGCATTGATTGTCGCGGCCGTGATTTGCCATCATGGCGTCGGGATCAATCAACACTCCCACGATTGGGACTTTCCATCAGCTACTCACAAAGCTGACTGATCCCGATCCCGACTTCCGCTACATGTCCCTCGACGATCTTCTCAAAATCCTCAACGGAACCATCAAGACAGATATCCTTCAAACCAATTACAGCACCTCTGCGCAGGTTGTCGATGCTGTGATCAAGGTCCTCGACGATCAAAATGGCGAAGTTCAGAACATGGCGCTCCGATGCATCGGTCCCCTCATAGGCAGTGTTCCTCTCTCTGTTGTGCCGACCGCCCTCGAGACACTGTCTGGCCTCAAGATCAAGAACTCGGTCGATAACTCTCTCCCGTACCTGGCCTTGCGAAATGCCATTGCTGCTCTTCCAAAGCCTGTTCGAGGCGTCGCTCCAAGCAGGGAAGTTATCGAGGCCAGCAACATTGTCAGCCGCGTTCTCATTCCCAGAATACTTGGCTACTCCGTCTCTGGCAGGCATCAATCAGATTCTCGAGGCCTGCTAGACGAAAAGAATGAGCTTACCTCTGAAGCTGTCGACGTCCTCATCGAGGTTGTTTTAAGCTACGGATCCCTTCTCCAACCACTCGAAATTGAAAAACTCCAGGATGTAGTTGTACAGGTCCTACAACGGCCTTCAGCCTCGGGTCCCGTCAAAAAGAGAGCTGTTGTTGCTCTCGCCATCCTGGGACCATACCTCTCGGATGATGTCCTGACCGCCCTGCTTTCCAAAGTCACCAATGCGCTTGGCCAAAAAAGTCTCAGCCCGGTCATGCGCAAGCTCTACATTACGATATTGGGCTCAATGGCCCGTTCCATTCCGTTTCAGCTTGGCGAACACCTTCCCACCTTTTTACCATACATTCTTACAGCTCTGGGCAAGGATGAGTTGCAAGTACAGCTTGACGCCATTAGTGAAGGTCATGATCAAGGCACGGCCGAGTTCAACGAGGTTCGTGAGGCTGCCCTCATTACACTAGAGGCTCTCCTTGCCAGTTGCGGTACTCAGATGCGGCCATTTACTGGCGAGGTCATTTCAGCATGCCTCCGCTATCTCAAATACGACCCCAACTACGCCATGGATGATGAGGATGAAGAAATGGAGGATGAAGATGAGGATGGTGATGATGAAGAGGACGAGGACGATTACGAGGACGATGCTGACTTTGACGATGACGATGATGCTAGCTGGAAAGTCCGCCGAACTGCTGCCAAGACCCTTTACACTCTCATATCGACCCGCAGCAGCGACCTACTCGAACAGGGCACTCTGTACTCTAATGTTGCGCCACAGCTCATCAAGCGCTTCGACGAACGCGAGGAAAGTGTCCGTCTCGAGGTCATTGCCACAATGGCATTACTCATTCGCAAGACTGGTGAAGGTGTGATTCGCTCCATTTCGTCAGAGGAGCGCGCCGAACTTCTCCAGTCCCTTCCAGAATCTCGCAAGAGACGTCGCCAGGACAGCGGCGGTTTTGCCATTACAAACAAAGCTCCATACCTGGGCCCTACTGGCCTCACCTCGCCCACACGGGAAGAGATCCCTCCGACTGGGCCTCGGGCAGATCTCTCGCAGCTGACTCCGCAAATGGTCAAGATCTCTGCAAAACTGATCAAGGGCAAGCAGATTCCTACCAAGCAAGCTATCATAGGCCTCTTGGACGATCTCATCTCTCTTCAAAATGGTGGACTGTCCGACTATTTTGACCAAGTCATGCAGCCCATCATTGACACCATCAACAGCTCAGCCGGAGTCGTTGGCTCGGGCTCTTCGACATTGTCTGGCGGCAACTCGTCTGCCACTGCAACGACCCTCCGCGTTGCCGTCTTGAAGCTCATTAGCGACATCTCTAGAACCCATTCTTCCAGCCTCTTCCAGCCATATCTTTCCAAGATGACCTTGAGCATTGTTGCCGCGGTGCAGGATCGCTTCTACAAGATTTCTAGCGAGGCCATCAATACTGCTGAGGAATTGGTCAAGGCCATTACACCTCCACGTGCTCTGCGCACATCCCAAAAGTACAAGCCCGAGCTCGTGCAGCTGTACGATATTATCGTTGATAGAGCGGCTTCCAACGACGCCGATATCGAGGTGCGCCAAAAGGCTATTCAGGCCCTTGGTACTCTGCTTTCGCGCACATCCGTTAGCGAGGGGGCCTTGCTGCTCCCAGCGGAGAAGCGACAAGCTGGTCTTAACCTGCTTCTGGACCGTCTTCGCAACGAGACGACTCGTCTGTACGCCGTACGAGCCATTGACAATGTCGCTGCCCATAGCAGCGCAGCCGGAAGTCTTGAATCTGGTTGGCTGCAGCCAGTCGCGCTGGAGCTCTGTGGCCAACTGCGCAAGACGAACCGCGCACTCCGCGGTGCCAGTGTTCAGGCTCTTCAACACCTCATCATGTCGCCAGCCTCAAAGGGCAATCTTGAGCCTGACACAACTCAGGGCATTGTGACTGCCATCTCGCCCGTCATTGCCGTCAATGACAACCATCTCTTGAGCCCTGCCCTCATCGTCCTAGCCCACCTTGTCGAGACCAACCCGGATCTCATCTCCTCCACGGATTTGATTGACAATATCTGTAGTCTTCTCAAGACTGCCGTCAGCGAGTCGACTCTGAATGCCCTGCTGGCCTTGGCCACCAGCGTGGGTCGCGGTGGACAGGGACAAGTTCTGATGCAAGGAGTCCTGGCGGTCGGTGTCGGAGGCGATAGCAGAGCCGTTGGAAAGGTTGCCGGCACCCTGTTTGTGGCCAGTGACGGCAAGGCTGGAATCACAATTGACAGCTTCATCCAGGAGCTTAATGCAGCTAGTAGAAAGAACCCGCCAGATGATCTCCGACAGTGTCTGGCATTGTATATTCTGGCCGAGATTGGCCTTTGCCTTGGCAGCAAGTCTCCGATCAGCCCCGATGTCTTCCTGAGCCAGTTCCGTGAGGAACCCGATCGAGTCTCTCTCGCCGCAGCAACCTCCCTTGGTAGAGCCGGAGCTGGCGACGTGGCCAAATTCCTGCCCATTATTCTTAGCAAGGCCAAGCAGCCAGGCGGTCAGCAGTATCTCCTCTTGCAATCGATTCGTCAAATTCTTAGCCAAGTCGTGGACTCTGGCATCGATATTAGCCCGTACGAAGTCCAGATCTGGGATCTACTCTTTTCAGCGTCGCAGCATGAGGACAACAAGGCCACCTGCGCCGAGGCCATTGGTAGCATGGCCATCATTTCGCCAAAGACTTATATTCCAAAACTTCAGGTTTGTATAGCCAATCCATTTGGGAACTGCTCAACGCTAATCCACCGCAGCAATTATTGCAGTCCCCTGAACCACAGTACCGGGCCGTTGCCATCCAGGCTATCCGTTACACCCTGCCCGAGAGCGAGGAGGCCTTTGACTCCATGCTCAAGACTGTACTCGTTGACATGCTCCTCACTGTTCTTCAAGACAAGGACATGGAAATTCGACGCCTGGCCATGACAACTCTCAATTCCGCTGCTCACAACAAGCCAGACCTAATCCTGCCGCATCTTGGCAGTCTCATGCCATTCGTCATGGGCGAATCTGTCATTAAACCAGAGCTTATTCGCGAGGTTCAAATGGGGCCATTCAAGCACCAGGTGGACGACGGACTGGAAGTCCGCAAGGTATGTCTGGATTTCTCTTTCATATTCTTTCTTATCTCAACTAACATAATTGGTCAGAGTGCCTATGAGACCTTGTATGCTCTCATGGAGACTGCATTCTCCAGAATTAGCTCTCTTGAGTTCTATGATCGTGTTGTCGCAGGACTCAAGGACGAAAATGATATCCGTGCCCTTTGCAATTTGATGCTGAGCAAGCTCATTGTCATTGACCCCGATGAGACGACAAGACGACTAGACACCATTGCCGAATGCTATCGCAAGGTCCTTAGCACCAAGCTCAAGGAAGGATCCGTCAAGCAAGAAGTTGAGCGACAGGATGAGACCAACAAGTCCGTTCTCAGAGTCACGATTCTGCTGGCAGACAAGACAAAGACTACACTTCCCAGTACCAGCACTGGAGGTGGTGCACAAAGCCAGCAGCAATCGCAACAGCAAGTCTCGAATCCTGTATGGCAACAGTACTGGGAATGGGTCAACAGAGACTTTGAGCGCCCCATCAAGTCACTGCGTGAAGAAAGCAAGGAGACGGTCTAGACCGCCAGAACAAGTACTGCAGGATACAAATCAATAGACCCACGCGTGCTGCCCGTGAGCATACTTACACTCGCCGTCAATGTTGAGATGCAATGAAAGCATTAGTCCGACATCTGAAAATAGCAATATGTAGCTCGCGCAAGCGCCAATAAAGAAAAGAGATGATAATTCTCAGAGAATTGCCTTGACAGACGCACAAAGTACTGACCATCTAGTGTCACGCTGAGGCTAGGGATTGAACCTGGTAATGAAGATTATGTGGGAGAAAATACCACGGCGTTTCAGTACAACTATAAGACGTCCACTTTTGATCGTGTCTTTCTCGCTGCTACTGCGCGCAAGACAAACGCATCGAGCTTATTGTCTGTTTCGCAATAGAATCTACACGATGTATCAATGAACTGGACCTTATGTTACTTGCACTTTGGTGGGTTGACCAGCATTGAGACACGCGTGTGCTCTATTGCCTATTTGAGAATTCGATTAAACTTGTAGGATTTCGAGTCACATGATTCCAGGCAGGGCTCTCGTCATGACTTCTGCCTACCGCAGATAAAAGACGTGACACCTTGAATATACCACCGCAGTTCTCTATACAAAAGAAAAAAAAAGTTGTCCACTACTTTTTCTTGTCCTACTCACTGCAATGGTCACGTACAAAGACATACAAGCCTCCAATGCGCTTGTCAACGATACAACGGCGCCGAGTGTGGCCGTCTTTGCCGGAGGTACGTCTGGCATTGGACAGCTCACCATACGAGCTCTTGTCGCCACGGGCGCCAGCATGAGAATATACTTGGTTGGACGCAGAAGCTCCGCAGATCGTATGCATGTTTTCATACAAGAGCTCCAAGATTCAAATCATAGAGCAAAAGTGATTTGGATCGAAGGTGAAATTTCTCTGCTTGCCGAGACGAAAAGAATATGTCAAGTCATCACAAGCAAAGAATCACATGTCGACTTGCTATTCCTTACCGCGGGGTATGCGCCCATGAGTGGACGCAAGGAGACGCCAGAGGGCCTGGAGATTACTCAGAGTCTGGCATACTATTCTCGCATTCTCTTCATTCAACATCTCTTGCCCATCTTGAGCAGGGCAGCCGCTCCCAGAGTAATCAGTGTCTTGGCTGGCGGACTGGAGCGGGCCACTATGAACCTAATGGATTTGGACTTGAAGGCGCCCGGAGGTTTCAACTTTATCAAAGCTCAATCACAATACGCAACCATGAACACGACAACATTGGAGAAATTAGCCAATGAGAATCCCGACGTAACCTTTATCCACTCGTGGCCTGGCTGGGTGAACACGGGAAATGTGAACAGAGGCATTGAATCCAATTCAATCACTGCCTGGCTGGTCTGGTTGTTCCTAGAGCCACTGATTAGATTATTCTCATTCAGTGACGAGGAGTCGGGACAGAGACATCTCTTTCAGAGCACCAGCGCGGCTTTCGGTGGACGCGGCGTGTCTTGGAAGGGCAAGCCAGGAGTGAATTCGGCATCTCGGACGGAAAATGGACTCTTCTTGGTCAATTATAAATGCGACTGTACACCAAACTCGACAGTAATGGCATCACTACGCGAAAGGGCTCAGGGTATAATTTGGGATCACACACAAGAGGTTCTCGGTCCATATTTGTAACTAGCGGTACATTTGATTGGTAGACTCAGAATGAACCGATCAGTAGGGATTAATTTTACAAGGCGAAGACAATGCCCAGGAATCTGCATAGTCAAAGAAGTCATCAACAATCATGTGCGCAGCGGAATCGGGCCTGCATGAATGCTAAACCATACCGTTCTCTTTGGCTGATGTTACCAACAATGGTTTTAATCGAGAGATTCGCTGTATTTTGTTTGAACGCTTAGTACATTTCCAAACTTCGATTGACAAGCCTTCTAAAATAAGCAGTCCTGCTACCACTATAGTAAAATCAAGAATAGGTCCAAAGATTTAAAAAGGTTCAAATAGGCAACAGACGAACTTGCACCATAATCATGGCATATAAAGAGTTGCCTTTTATAATTATGGACTCGAATCTTCTCCTAGAATTATGCCGAGGCTTTGAGACCTATATCCCTATAAAAGTGATCAAGTTTGGCCATGTTTAAATGCATAAAAGCTTGGTAAGTATTCAAGTGACGTCATTTTCGGTGTAGCGAATATGGAAAGCCCACAGATAGCACAGGCATTGTCGACTTGGGACTAGGATACGAGGTAGTGGTCCCACTTAGAGCTCATATGCCCAGCACTTGTTCACCACAGCGTTCACCACTATCAATACAGGTACCCAACCTACATCGCAAGAGTCACCTTGAGTCTTGAGCAGTTCGCTAATTGCCTTGTAGTCCCAACTGTGAAAATGATGTCGGGTGCGCCGGAATGAGACTGGTAGGGATTCGGGTACCTGGTGTTTAAATGCTGGATTTTCAATGTCATCTAGGAAAAGAATTGCTAGATCGTATTTCCAAGGGGAGCATGAAATATCAAATATGAGTCCCTCGTCAGTCAAGGGACACGATGAGATGTTTCCATCCTACTATTTCTTTGTCTTTTCCTCCCTTCTGTCCTTTTGTGCCACCAGGACGCTCATATACCTCTATTTACTTTCCTCGACTGAAATTGGGTTAGTTTGAGTTTCCTTGAGCTGCATCCTTTTGAAGGAGTATGATTCTGTTGCCAGCTCTTGAGCTCGATTATCATCGTCTGCCATAGGCTTTGCTTCAGCGCTGCCTCTCGCTCGCAGGGACAACCTAGAAGGAGGCTTTAGTGTCCGCAAACCACAACCAGGCATTGATGGTTTCTTGCAATAGGTCCACACGCATTAACGGGCAAGAATGCGCATAGTCGACGGACTGGTGAGCTGGAGTATGTTGACACACGTCTGGGATGTATACAGAGTATTCTTGTCAATTGCCGATACTATCAGCATAAATATGTTTGATGGGTCTAGGTGAACAGCCAGGTAAGCGGTCATGTCAATAAATTGGTACATGTCACCTTCTGTAACCAAAATTTTCCGAGTAAATCCAGCTAGTCATAGCTAATTCTCATCACTATTATGGGGTTGAGATTCACTATTCACAATTATTTGAAAAATGACAAACCATTGTAAGCAACTTATTAGGAAGATGCTGACCCTCCCATATAAATCTGCATTGCAGCCTTGTTTTTAAATGCCTTACAGCCAGAAAAAAAAAATCGCATACCTACTTATGTACTTGAATCGACTAGAATCATTATCTAAGGAAGCTTCACACTCATCTTTCTAGAATCAAAATGATAAGGCAGATAGGAAAGAAATTTATAAAACAGAATCTCCAGTTGCAGCATTCCTCTCATTGGTTAACATTTGTGAGAACCTGCGACTACCAGCAAATATCGGAACCATGGCCGATACCGTTACAGTGCATATTTTCGGGATCAAACGGTGTGTCAGCACGCAAGGCCGGTATTTGAGCACAGTTTGCCCGGGTTGAATCGGTTCACTGTCAGCTTTTTGCGCCTGACTCGGACTGTGAGCTAACCGGCTCGATGACCGAATTTTGGAAGTCATTCGAGCTCCACCAGAAACATCGTCACTGATATCCAAACGCCAAAAAGCCCTGGAGAGTCTGACGATCCCCATCTGGCGCGGGTATCACAGTTCAATTTTTGACAATTCCCTCACATCTCCAAGTTCCTACCACATTGGAATAACCACTCGTCCATCACAAACAGCACCATGGCCTCAATCGCACGAAGCTTGCGGGCAGCTCGACCTGCAACTTTCTCGAGATTCGTCCAGACCCCCGTCGCCCGCAGCAATTGGCAATCGCCTTCGATCCGCGCATTTTCCGTTACACCCTCCAGTATGTGCGCCATTCCAGAACTATGCGATCCTCATACTATCTCGCAGATTGAACGTCTTGTTGGTCACACGCTAACTTTGCACACCCGCAGGAGAGATCCGCAAGTACACCAAGGACCACGAATGGGTCGACCTCAATGCCGACAAAACCTCGGGTGTCATTGGTATCTCATCGTACGCTGCTGAGGAGCTGGGCGATGTTGTTTACGTGGAACTTCCCGAGGCCGACAAGACGGTCCAAGCTGGCGATGCGATTGGCGCTGTCGAGTCTGTCAAGAGCGCTGCCGATATCAATGCGCCCATCTCCTGCCGCGTGACCGATGTCAACCTGGTACTAGAGGAGAAGCCAGGACAGATCAATGCTGTCCCCGAGGATGACTCTCACGGTGGCGGCTGGATCTGCAAGGTTGCTGTTGACGAGCAAGGTGTCCAGGACTTTGAGAACCTGATGAGCGCGGAAGAATACAAGGCTTTCACTGGAGCTGATCACTAGATGCGAGCTGGAACAGTAGGCGCGGGCGTATAACAGGAGTGCATTTACGGAGGTAGTTCAACACGGTATGAGAGCGTCAGGGAGGGCCCTGGCCATATTATGGCATCAATGCAACTTGGACATATATTACACAAGGAATAAAACATTCACAGCTGATGGCAATCACGGTACAATCTTCTCGTTCTGTTCCAATTTCAACCAGCGCCGTTGTGAGATTTTCCATGTGGATATCTAGCATTTCTCTGCATATACATTTGCCGGGCGTCTGCCGGATACAGCCTTGATAACGGAGTCTCAAGTACAATACTCTTATGCCGGCACCCACTTTTCTGTACTTGGGTTGGCCTCCCTCTCGGCATTGATGGCGTCCAAAATCTTCTGTGCACCGCCGTCAACCAGAAGCTGAGCTACCCTTTTGCCAAAGTCGACGGCTTGTTCCCTCGTCTCAATGGTCTCCTCCAAATTACCGTCGGCAGCTTCCGTGCCATCCACGCTCACCACCGTGGCATTCAAGTGTAGTTTTCTGTCACTCGTCCACTTTGTCTCGACGCCAATTGGGATGCTACATCCGCCCTCGAGTGTCCTCATAACGCTGCGTTCGGCTTCGGCGGCCAGCATGACATGCTTGTCCTCGAAAGCTTGGAGAATGGACAAGGTTGCCTCATCATCTATTCTCGCCTCGATGCCTAATCCTCCCTGACCAACAGCATGCAACATACCACCGCCCTCGGTTGTGCTGTCGAGATACTGCGACACCCTGCCAAGCCAGTTCATTCTTGAAAGACCGGCAGCTCCAAGGATCATGGCGGTATAGGCTGCGTCCTCGGCATCCAGCTTCTTGAGTCTGGTGTCAATGTTTCCGCGCATGTCCTGAAATTGGAGCTTTGGGTAACGACGTCGAATCTGGGCCATTCTGCGGATGGAGCTTGTGCCAACGACGCTGCCCTCGGGAAGGTCTGACAGTTTGCTGTATTTGCCTTCCAAACTCTTTTTAATAACGACAACGTCGCGCGGGTCCTCTCTCTCAGGCACACAAGCAAGAACGCAGCCCTCGGGCAATACAGTGGGCATGTCCTTGAGCGAGTGAACGATTATGTCCAACTCTTTCGCCATTAGGCCAGCTTCCAGCTCGTTTGTCCACAGTCCCTTGCCACCAAAGTTGTACAATGCCGTAGTCTTGTCCTTGTCAGCGGCCGAGAGCATGCCGACAATCTCAAAGTTGACATGAGGATGGAGCTTGGAGAGCGAAGTGACGACAAAATCGGCTTGTGCGAGGGCCAATGCAGATTTTCTTGTGCCGACTCGTACTGTAGTCTTCTTTTCTTGGGACCCTGACGGGGCAATGACGGTCTGTGTCGCTGGTGTAGACATGCTGGGCAGAGTTCTCGGAGGTTTGGGTGCGGTGTATACGTTGGCACAAGAAGTGCTCGCTCACAAGGAGGCTGGCGCAATACAACAAGTAGAGCCGAATTATGTGCGCAACGCTGACGAGTAAAGCCTTGATCGAATGTCGAGGGGGAGATGTGTAAGAAAGGACACGGAGATTTGTCGTTGTGTTGCGTATCAGCTGAACTCGACAAATCGGCGAGGAGCGGCTTCGGCAGGGTCCTTCTTATGCAGTTGGGTGAAATTGTTTGAAGGAGGGGCCATGAGACGGGTTTCGCGGGGTATCTTTTGGGCGCTGCGGGGCAGCCGTATTTGGGTATACTTGACTGGTCACCTACAGGCTTTTGTATCTGCTATATGTGCGTCTTGTCAGGGCCCAATTCACACTTCCTCCTGCAGGTACATGAACTATATTCAATGCTGAGCTCTAGCAATCTCTTTCGTGCTTGAAATCTTCAGTGCCTTGAGATAAGTGGCATCCACGACGGAGCTGTACACCCATCTTGACTAGCCCAGGACAACAAATCGGCAGCACAATGTGTCAAGTTGCCATGTATTCGTGTATAACCATCATACGTTTCCCATGAATTAAGACGACATGGAAATATCGATAGCAAAGGCTGGCCAACATGTATGTCTTGCCTAATGAGCCTCACAGCAGTTTGACTTGACCTTTACAGGCGCAGTCTGGAAAATTGTTATTATCATGAATCATGAACCGTTCGTAGGTAGGGTTTGAGCTCAGTTTGCTTGAGTAGGTTGATGGTCCATTGGCTAATATAACACACTCAATGATACCGTACAGCAATTGTGATATCTATCAGTCACGCAGGCGCAAGATTCGCTTGCCATCACTCGGCTAGTCTGCCTCCCGTTGCGTGTATATGTACAACGACGACGTGTCTGTATTCAAGGCAAATATTGGCGGGCGATACCAAGTAAAAGGTGGAATGTGACTTGGCAGTCTGCTGCAAAAAGTCGATCTCTAGTTTCCATCAATGAGCTGGAGTTAGGGGGTATTTAAGCATCGCGATACGCCGCTCTATCATCGCGGGCTTTGTCACAATTGAACAATTGGATTCAGATCAAGCACTAGAGGATTCCTTCAGTCTATAAATCAAACTCGTTCACCATGACGACATCAGCAATTTTCATTGCCCTCCTGGGTACCAGCTTTGCCAGCCACCAACCCTTTTATCAAGCCCTTGCTGTATCTGGCACTTCGTCCAGCGTCTCGTCAGCCACACAAAGCACGTCTACCATTTCAGGAGCCATACCCGTATCCACAGCCTCGGGCGCAAAGTGTGGTAAAGGCTATACATACTGCGGGTTCATGCTTCAGTCAGGGGGACACAGTGAGTCCATGCTGAACACAGCTCCGTAAGAGAGCCAACAGAGCTAATCGAGATGAACAGACTTTGCCCCAGAAGTCATAAACAAGACGTATTGCGATGCTCTCGAAGGCAACTGCGCCAATGGTGTCCCAAAGACTAAGACTGACCAGGCGGTCTTCTTGTGCATGGATGATAATCCCGCTTCGATCCAGCTATTCTGTGCATGTGGCGGGAAATGCTTGGATGAACCCGCAACCAACAATATTGCCCATTGCGATACACCTTGCGTGAATGGAGGGAAATGCTTGTAGAAGATCAGGCCAGGGAAGCCAGTCAGAGAGATCATCGGGCTGAAACCCGACTCTAGTTCGTACACTCCTTAGACCTGCTGGGCAGAGTCATCGATAGTTCCAGTCTGTAGCAAAGTGAGGTTCTTTCAATAAGCATCCATATTTGTGCCAAGACAGAGAGGAGTCATGATCCCAGACTCCTTCACGGCATATGTAAGACGTTTTGTCGGAATCGTGGTCTTCTTGTATTGCCTCCATACCGTGTTATCCTACTTGATCAAGGCAGTCAAGTTGACCCCTGGCTAGCGAACTCCCTTTTCAAATCACCAATATCAACTGCAGAGGCTTTGCAACAACCTCCGACAAGGTAGCTCTGAAAGCATCCACGAGTACTTGATGTGCGGATGACATTTGCCAATTGCGATGCCCAGGAATCCTGTACAAGTCGTTAGTTACACGCCAGCCAATGAGACACGATTCAATCCACATACAGCGTTTGCAATGTCCTTGTGTTCCTGACCTTGAGGCTTCTCCCATGTCTTGGTTGTAGTGTTGTATACCTCGCCGTTGGTCCCGTCAGGATACACCACCATTGCTGGCGACCGCTCAAGGCGTCCAGATTCAATCAATTCCTTGACAGCAGACTCAAAGGATTCAATCAGGCTTGGGAGTTTGTGGAGCTTGGTACAGTTGATGCCAATACCCCATGGCCGAGCACCGCGGGTTGCTGGATCAACCATTGCTTCGACCACTTGAACAATCGACGAGCCATCTGGTAGCGTGTCGCCCTCGCCTGGGAAAACACCAGCCATCCAAAAAGGCGCTTTGATACCAGAGTCTTGCACTGCCCTTCTTGCTGCCCGAAATTCGTCCAGGCGGGGGATTGTCTCGAGAGCAATATAGCTGATCCTCTCAATTAGTCCAGGTACAACAGTGAATAGCTGGAGCCGTTCCAAATGCCAGCTGTAAAGCGACTCTTCTGAGTCGTGGTCGTCATCATAATTGCCGGTGTATTCCTGGCCGGGAATCATGCAAGCACCATACGGGCCGAGACTGAGCGCAATTTTGCTGTCGCTGTCACGAACTGCTTTCTCGGCTATTGCCACAGCTTTTGACATGTAACCTCCAATGTACTCCTTGGAAATTCCATCGGGATGATCTGCTGTCCTTGTGCGCTGGAAGCCTTCAATTGAAGTTTGGTATGTTGCCGTCAGGAGCACATCGGCACCCGCAGTGACAAAATCTGCCTGGCACGCTAATAGTGTTTCCTCACCTTGGACCAAGAAGTGAGTAGACCAAAGCGGCATTGAGTGATTGAACTTCACGCCATATTTGTCTTCCAGACTTGTTCCCAAGCCACCATCAAGGATTCGGATGGATGCCATATTTTTAATTGTGACAAGGTCGAATATGGGTCGGGCAAAATTTAAATCCCACAATTGCATAATATGCAAGCGCGAGCGTCGATTATTAGCTTGGCCGATTACGGCGAAAGGCATTAGCGAGTAAACGTAAAATGAAATTGCGAATATTTAATTTTTTTAATTAAAATTAAAATTATTATTATAATTATTACGATCCGTAAAATTAAAGGCGGTGCATTAACGTATAATATATTAAATAAATTTAATTATAAACGAAATTTATAAAAATAAATATTTACGTATTATTAATTAAATATTAATATTTTAATACACGGATTTATTAAAAAACCCGTTAAATGATTAATAAAATAATAAATTATTAACCGTAATTATTTTAGCCGTTATTCCTTGGCGCCTTTTATTTAAAAAGCGGGAGCTAAGGTTAATATAATTATTAATTAAAGTGGTGCTTTTTAATTAAAATTTAAATTAATTTAATATAAGTATTAATTATATAATATATTAATTTATATTTTGCGCCTTTTAATTTTAATAAAATATACGCTTATTTAAATAGCCCCGGTTAATTTTTAAAAGGTCCCGTATATTTATTTAAATATTATAATATTAATCCGTGTATTTAAGCACATTTTAATTATTATAGCTTAAATATTAAAATATAATCTTTAATATATCGGGACCCATTTATTTAAATATTACGAGCTTTCCGCTTAACTTTTAAAATTTAAATTTTAGCTTTATATTTTTTATATAAAAGCATTTAAACTTCGATATTTTATTTTTTTCTAATAATTAAATTTGTTCTAAGGTATAATTAGTGGATCATAAACTTAAGCACAGGGAAGCGTTCATATAATTCGTAGAATCAGGCCGTGGAAGGTAGTTATAAGGCTATATAATTAATTTATTAAAGCTTAAAGAAAAAATAACTAATTATAAAGGAATAATTACCTTTTATACCTATAAAATTAACTAATAAAAATATTTTAAAATATATTATTAATAAATTAGATTTATAATTAAATTAATTAATAATAAGGTTGATTTATAATCGAAAAAACCATCGAAATCTATAGATTTTTATAATATAGGTTAGGGTTAGGGTTAGGGTTAGGGTTAGGGTTAGGGTTAGGGTTAGGGTTAGGGTTAGGGTTAGGGTTAGGGTTAGGGTTAGGGTTAGGGTTAGGGTTAGGGTTAGGGTTAGGGTT